TACGGACAGGTAAAAATGTACAATATAAAACACGGACCTTTTGTAGTTTGCACTATTAAATATGTATAAAGTATAATATATTAGTACATATAATGACAATGTTAAAAAGTTTAATGAGATATAAACATAATTTTATTTATTTTATGGCATTTTATAAGAAGTGAATGTTATCAGCAAAAGTTTGCAAGGTACAACTAAAATAAGKCTTTTAATTTTTTTWAAAATTATTTAGACAAACAGGATTTGAAAATTCTGTAATAACTGCAAAAGCAATTTGTGAAGAAAATGGTATTATTGATAGAAATTATAAACACATCGTTTAAAAAGAAGAGAAAAGACTTTAAATCATTAAGGAGACGATAATATAGTAAATTATGAGAGTAGAATAAGCTTCATAATTTTTTAAAACTAACTTTATTTAATCACTATAATTATTTTTAAAATATACTTTATTAACTTATTGTGTATCAATTTGATATTATATGAAGATAAATTTTATAAACCGAAAAGTGGTAGAATCAATAGAAATATGATAAAATAAATAAATTTAATAAGTATGATTTAATTTTAATAATTCCAAATAAATTATATTTATTTAAATACATCGTCAATTAGGAATAATAAAATATATCACTACTATTAACTGGTGATTGTGTATTTTAAAAGTGTCTAAAGATTGTTTTATAAAACAAAATATTAAGTATAAATATTTACCATCTAGTTTCATAATCATCGATGGCCACACCAAAAATATTGACCAAGGTCCAAAAATACTAAGTGGCGTCACTACCATGTAGARTTATTAGTATTAAATGTAGTGCAAAATGTCTACATTCTGCAATCTTAGGTTATTACCTGATCGTAGGTACAAACTGTCCGTGTTTTGTCCTTTTAATGCTCGACCGTAAAACACGATTTAGAAACCGTTTTCTTTGCATGTATATGAGATTAAAATATGCCGAGAGAGTGATTAAGATTTATTGCAAAACGATTACGGTTAATAAATAAAATAAAATACGGTAGCTCAGTTTATAAAGTAATATAATAGATTTTGTTTGTACTGTTTTATATTTTGTGCAGGTATCCCCTAGTTTTGTAATAAAAAATAAAAGGATGATGAAATGTCACAAATATACTTGTCATACTTCAATTGGCGTTCGCAAATCTCCTAAGTTCTCCAGTTGTCCAGGTGATGGCCAGGGCGTTAGAAAACTGCACAAGATGATTAAAACAGAAGGCAGCTATTTTCAAGTGATCAGCGTGGATGCCTTTGGGTCATAACGTTGCAAGGACCGGATGCATTAAATTTGGTATCGAGTGGGTTAACCGGAAGTGACGGGAATAACRATATAAGCCGCCGTTCTAATTTTGAACGACCGTCGTGTACCTATAATAAATTATAATGGTTGTCAGATATTAAGTTCTATTAACTAAAAAAAATCGTTCTGC